CCATTTATTTTCACTGGTTTTTAATTTCACATTTTGATGTTTTGAGCAATTTTACTGAGTTTTTAAATTCACAAACTTTGCAGGGAAACAATGAGCTATATTGTTACATGTTGAAATGTTTTTAATTTATTGGATTTTACTTACAGTATTAGCAAAAATATGGTAGTGAAATTAAAAACCAGTGCATGCAAATGGATTGTAGAAGTACTTTTTTTTCTGATGTCAGACCAGCAGATCACTATTTATTTTATTGGAGATGGAGGGAGGTTGGTCTGTAAATACGGTATTTGTAAATATGAAATAATTAAAAAACACACACAACAAAAAAAACAATAAGATAAAGGTGCAGCATCTGAGGAACATAAACAAATCTTTTCATTAGCTAGTCCTAAATGAAATATGAAAATTCAGATTACTTCTTTTAGCACCAAGCTAAAACTGAATTTTTCACCTCCCATTTCACGGTTGTACAAGTACCTGCATCTGTCACTAAATTAAAACAAATTTAGAATGACCTTACCTTAAATGACCTATGATGGTAGATTTGGGAGGTAGATTTAAAAATTCTAACAGGAACTGTATCCTGTCATTTATCTGTCTAGGATGTCATTTTATTAAGTCTCCCAAAAAAGGTGAGAGTTTCTCCAATTGAGAATTCAACATAAAGAGCTGTTTCCTGCGAAAGTATAAAATATAATTCAAAAAGTGGTATGGACTGGTGAATCAATGGAGGGATATATGGGTTAGATTGGGGATCACATGGAATAGAATGGGCTGGAATGGGATATGGTATATTGAAAAACATGATGAAATGGGTTGTAAATGGGTAAGTTGGGTGAATGGTGGGTTTTGTCATGGTGTCAAGGATAAAAAGGGATGGGTTGTAATATTGAAGTATAATTCTACAGCATAGTGTGGGTTAGATTGGATGGGATGAGATGGTTTTGGATAATATGGGTGTAACAGGGCACATAAGAATGACATAATATGTTGGCATACACTATATTGGGATGAGACTGTGGTGCATCATGGGAAAAAAGGGATGCAAAGGATGCTGATAAAATACATGTCAATCAGTTATGACATTATAGGCATTAGACATAAAAAGACACCAAGAGATTTTTGACAAGAAAGCCACATGACATGTTTGTGGCCATCAAATAATACTTTATTCTCTTTTGTCATTATAACAACTGTTAGGTTAGAGAAACGATGGACATAATGACACCCAACTGGATAAATAATGATCTTCTTACCTGAGGCATATATCCAACCAACTTTCCTGGCACACCATGACCAGTTGTTCCAGGTTTCTGTCCAAGTACAAGGATGTTGCCTTTTTCATTGTTTAGCCTTGCTAGCATGCACCTAAGTAATGTCGTTTTCCCACATCCACTTGGTCCCAGTAAGCCATAGCTATTCAAAAATAAGAAACACATCTAGAATCTTTGATAGAATTTCAATTTTAAGATGTGCACATAATAGTGTGCATATTCTGCACTGGAGAGGATCTAGGCTTGTGAGACTGTGAGAAAATATATTTTACACCGGGGAAAAACTTATATATGAAGTGTTAGTTCAATGAATCTCTGTGTTAAAGGATTTCATGGTTATTGGAATAACACAGAGAGTATATACTTGCATCTTAAATACATACACACAATCACATTGACATATCAAATTAATGACATGCATAGATATGTAATGAATGTACCGGTACATACAATAAATCCCAAAACCAAAATTAACCTATCATACTTACAGGGCTATACAGAAACAAAACATAATCTCCTTTGCTTTTTTTCAAAACAAAGGCAACATTAAAATATAACAATATCTATGTTTACATCCCAGGGATTGCATCTGTTTTGATCACATGCATTTTAGGATACATGTACATTGACAGAAGTTTAATGGGACCTCCTGTTTGACAACTAAATAATATACAGCGAAATAAATTGAGGCAAATTTAATTTAACACATTAATGGTGAATCATTTCTGAATGTCAAGAAATATACAGAGATTGACCAAGAAGTATGTACGCTTACATTGCTCCCTGTGGTAACGTTAGGTCAATGCCATGCAACACAGGTGAACTTTTAACATAGGATTTATGGACGTCTTCACACAACACCGCAATCTCACTGCTACCGGGCATTCCCATATTAGTCTGCAAAGACATGGTGGTTACTACACAGGATAAGAAACCGCCGATGTCATTTTATGTTATTGGTACAGAGACTAGATGTAACCTTTGATCGTGTCCTTTGATCTCCCGCTGAAAGTTTGTGACCCTAATAAAAGTCGGTTCATTAACACCACACAGACACAGAGAAAGTCAATTTCTATACATTTATCATAGAACACACTCCAAATTGTTTCCTCAATAAAACTAATCATTTGAACATCATATTTTCAGCAACAAAATTTTAATGCAACAATTCGCACATTTTTAGGTTTTTTTTCTACAATTTTTTTCATAATTTTGGACCAAATAGGCATAACTTTTCATTTGCTACAGGTTTTGAACAAAATTTTTGAAAAAAAATATGGAAACAATTTTGCAGGTTTATTTTGTGAAACATGGTGAAAGTTTAATAGAATGGGTTAAATACTACATTCTAGTAAATATTTGTCTTTGTCAAAATTAAAAAGATTCTCATCACCTTGCTGATATTCCCAGCAACGCAAATTTCTGATCCTATAAATTTGTGAGTTAGAAATTGCTTGAAATCAAGTAATTAAAGAACCAAACCAAAAAAATAAATCAATTCTATGATGCCTGACATTAGCT